CTCGTCGTCATCTGCGCGAGCCACGCGTCTCCAGACCTGGCGGCGCGTGGGCCGCCCATGGCGGCTCAGAGACCGCTCATGCGCCACGGATGTAAAATTGCGGTCTTCGCCATGTCGAAATTCATGCTGGATGCGCTCGGGAAGATCGCCGGCGCTTCGCGGGATTCCCCGCAGGGGGCATTATTTGTCTACTGGACTGCCACTGGCCTGAGGATGGAGCATCACTTGTAGCTCCTCTTCTGTGGCTGGAACTGTCGCTTCGGAATCCTCGGGCGCCCCCGCCACATCGCAGTCTACGCCGGGGGGCACATGGAAATCCTCAACGAACTCGATCTGCGCAGGTTGCCCAGCGATGGGCATGCCCAGCCAGCCTGCCAAGTTAATCTCGTCGTGGCCAACATAGATCCTCGAACAGCTCGTCGGTATATCTCTCGAGGGGCATGGTGGCGCCTAGATGCCTGGCAGCCGTGAAGTGGATAAGCGGCAATGGGATAATTTGCAGGGTCGTCCAATTGCGCCCCCCAATCGACATACTGCATGTCCGAAACGGTTTGAGCCACATGCATTGACGAGCCCCTGCCTCCCCCATCGCCTTGGGGGCACTCACGACGGAAAATGTGTGTACGATGGCAGATGTCTGGTTGTGCCGATAGCATCTTCCGGGTTGCCCCGACGTCCCTTACCCTTTCCTGGAGTGCGTCTACGGCCCCATACGTGCCCCCAGGAATAATGCTTCGCATTGTGGTCCAGTAGGGGGTGACAGGGATGCCGGCATACCTCTGCCATGCAATCGCCGTCGTTTGCCCTTGCCCATGGTTCGACCCTTGCCCTTCAACCTAAGCGCCCCTCGAATAGTGCGTCGTACCTTGCGAATTGGCATTTGTTCACTAAACGTCTCCATCTGCATTTATGTTTCGCGCGTCCTAGAAATAGCCATTGAGCCTGTTGTTCTTCTGTGAGATACGTAGGCATGTCGGAATAGTCTAGGGCAGCCGCTTCGTCATCTGATGACGCGTCGGCGTCGGTTCCGGAGTCGAAGTCGGACTCGGCGGGTTGCCCCGCTGAGCCTACAAGGGCGGTGGCTTGCGCGGGGGTCGCCTTTGCCGACGGCCCCTGACATCTGGCCCAGGAGTCTTGCGACCCGTAGGCGGGGCACCATTTTGGGCGAATGGAGTGGTCTGTGTAGGTTGTGGATCATCACTCCGGACTTTTGTAGCAGGTTGCCCTGCGCTAGCATCAGCATGAAAGATTTCGGCGCGGTGACCGGGACTCAAGATACCACCAGTAACCCGGAGAAGCAATTAAGGACCCCCCCGGCGTTATCATTAGCACCGCGCCGTAATTAAATATATTTTTTTTGGGGGGGGGGTCGCCGAGCGATATTATTAGCACCGCGCACATGGAAGGAAAATAAATAATTCCAGCGCCCCGCCTCGGGTGGCATCCCACTTAGAATTGTAATGAAAATAAGAATACGAATACGAATAAGGACAACTAAGGACAACTAAGGACAACTAAGGAAAAGCTAAGGAGAACTTGTGACCCTTGCAGTGACCCTCGCAGGGTCCCCCCAAGGCCTGAGTATGGAGGAAGTCCAAGGCGGGAGCCTTGTCTGTGAGCGCGTCCTCCTCCTCCTCCTCCTCCTCTTCCTCCTCCTCCTCCTCCTCCTCCTCCTCCTTCTCTTCCTCCAGCCCCCATTTTTCTAATGAGATTTCTAGTGCAACCCCTTTGGAACAATTATTTGTTTCGGCCGTCGTAGGAGGTGGTCCATCCCAGGGCATCGCCCCCGCCCCGCACCGCGGCGTTATCTTAGCACCCGGCAGGACCAAAATAAATCCCCGAGCCAGAGTAGGAGTGGATCAGTGCACATGGTTACGGCACCGAACAGCGAGGGTCGAGCACTGGACAGACGCGTGGCCACTGAAGCTCTCTGACTCCTCCGCATGCGTTTCCTCATTCTTTCAGGAGGGTGCACCCCCTCCTGGTGCCAAGATAACGCTTCCGGGTGCCGGGTGCGTTATCTTTTCACCGGAGAGGGGGGGGGGGTCCTTAATCGCTTATCCGGGTTACTGCCAGGAGATCGTTCAGCGACGTGGGCGCATGACCTCATGCGTTCCGGTAGAGAATCAAAGTGTTGTTGGTTCCTCGGCGTGTGGTGGTTGAGTGGCGGTAGGAGCTGTTGTGCACGCGACGCCCCCGCTCCTAAGGCTCTGAAGAGAATGACGGTTGGGACTTGGAAGTTTGGGATGTTAAAGCCTGCGTTCTCAGCCTCGTAGCGGGCTAACTCGAAGCGCGCTGATGTCTGGTCGATCCGTTCTCCCGCATGGACGCGAAAGTCGATGACAGCCGTTCCCGAGTTAACTCGGCGTTCCTCCTCTAAGTTCTCGAACGTCGTGCTGAGGAGGAACATGATATAGGCGACGCCATCGGTGTGGCGGCCGATAATGTTAACTCCAAAAGTGATGATTCCGGGGGGAACTCATGGCCATGGTCCGTGCGAGGCCTTCCAGACAACGCTGCAGTGCTGCAGCCTGTTAGGAGGGGGTCGTACTGTTTGTGGTCACGTTGATGCAGGCATGAACCTCTCGAACGAATTCGCGGAAAAAGGTACTTGACCGGCCGGGTCCCAGTGGGGGCCGGTTGCTCCTGTGTCGTCTCCACCGCGCATCTGCCCCACAGCGCGCCCGATAGCGACCCATAGAAGGCCGCATATAGCAATGCCAATCCAGTGGCCCCGAAGGTCGTGGTTGGATAGTTGTGGCTGGGGTTTGTGGTGTTTCGTTGAAAGCTTGCGTGGGGGTGGAGGCGGCACACTGTCACATCGCATGTTGCCACGCATGGTGTATTGGAGTAGGTGGGTGGACTTCAGGAGTGTAGTAGCACAGGGGGGTAGGACTCAGGTATGAGGCCTCCGCGAGAGCGGAGTAACACTGCAAGTGTCCTCGCGGTGGTGCGTAGGTATGTACATTCCTCCGCGCAGACCCTCTGCACCCTAATGTTCCGCCATGTAAGTAGTCCACAAGATAGTGCCGTGGATGGAGAAGAGTAAAGCTAGAGCTGGCCACCATAGGCCAGCTCCGCTACCAAGTTTGAAAGGGGGTTGGGAGGCCCAACCAGCAGCTTCGCCCAAGGCGAAGCCCATATCCAACTCTGTTGTACCGTAGCAGCGATAGTCCCAGGAGTAGGAGATCGTCGCGGGAGCGACGGGCCAACTCAAGCGAAATTGTCTCCGGTCTCGATGGCATCGCGATGAAGGACAGCCATATCTCGGCGGCCGGCCGCTTGAACACAAACGGCCGCGGACAAACGCTCGATATCCCTCGCCTTTGCCCTAGTTCTCTTCAGAGTAGCGCCCCGAGAGGCCTCCAGGAGCTTTCCCACGAGAGCCCCAAGAGGCAAAATTCATGGATTCCCCATGCGTTTTTGAAAAATGTTGGCGTTCTGGCCTCTTCCGCTTCCCGACGCGCCAAGACGGCCCAACAGGCCCAAGAGGCGCCCAAGAGGGTCCCAAGATCGCCCCGAGACGGCCCAAGAGGCCCCCAAGAGGGTCCGATAACGGCCGAAGAGGCCCCGAAACGGCCCAAGACGCCTCCAAGACGGCCCAAGACGCCCCCAAGACGGCTCCAGGAGAGTGCCCAGACGGGGGACCCGAACGAACATTTCGAGCTCTCAACTCCAAGAGGCCCCCAAGAGGCCCCGAAGAAGGCCCAAGAGGCCCCAAGAGGCTCCAAAGGGGCTCCCAAACTGCCCCAAGACAGCCCAGGAGAGCCCCAAATTGCCAAGGAGGCCTCCAAGAGTGCTTCGAGACGGCGCAACAAGAGCCCTGGACGGCTCAAGGCGGCCTCAAGAGAGCCCCAGGCTGTCCCAAGAAAGCCTCTGGCCTCCTCCTCTTCCTCCTCCTCCTCCTCCTCCTCCTCCTCCTCCCCCCCCCTCTGCTACCCCTCCTCCTGCTCTCCCCTGCCTCCTTCTCCTCCTCTTGCTTCTCCTCCACCTCCTTCTCCCCCCTCCTCCTCCCTCATCCACCTCCTCCACCCTTCCTCCACCTCCCACTCATCCCCCTCCCCCTGCCCCCCCCCTCGTTTTCATTGTCGTCGTTCTCAGTGTCGGCGGCTCCGGCCGTAAGGCCTTCACAAAACCATGTGCTTGAAACATAAAGCCAATGCATCAAAACAAACAGCATCCGCCACCAGACTTCTGAGAATACTTCGTGCAAGCCACAGAATGCACTTGGGACATTCCTTGGTGGGCCTATAGGCACGCAGGACGCTTCGCCACCGCTCGATGGGTGCGGGCTTGCTCCGATGGAGACGGCCCGTAGCCGCCTCGCGGGGCCAACCGCCCTCGGGGTTCGACGCCCAGGCTGGCCCTCTGGCCGGGGACGGCGCCTGCCACCGCAGGCGCCCCCACGCGTGGCGCTCGAGGGGGTGGGGCGGCAACCCCGCCTGGTTCGCCGCACCCGTCGCTGGGGGGAAACTCGGATCAAGTCTAAACCGATCCATCATCGGGTCGGGCGAAAGGGGGGGATAGCAAAGGGGGGGTTTGAGAATCAGCTCACGTAGCTGATTTTCCCGGCGCCTCCCGGCGCCGGAGGCGGCTATGTATCGAGGAATGGGCCCCTCGGTGAGGCCGAAACCAGCTGCATGCAGCAAATTTCGTAACCCCCCCTTTCCCAATCCCCCCCTTTCGCCCGACCCGACATCAGCAAGCAGCAGCGACGGGGGCGGCCCCGAGGGGCACGAGGGCGAGCAGGGGGCCACGCAGCGCAGCCCTGCCTGGGTCGCCGCACCCGCCGCTGATGGGGCACGCGAGGAGGACGTCGATCAATCCCCGACTCCGAGTCCGCCAAGATCACCATCTTCTCCACCATCTAAACACCGAAAAAAGGACCGGTTCCCCAGGGCGCAACAAGTCACAAAGATCCGCGGGGAAACCAGCTTACAGACGGCACTCCAGGGGGCCGGCAGCGGCCGCAGCAGCAGCAGACAAGAGAGGAGGGGCGCCTGCCGCATGGAGGCGGCCGACGAAGCCGCGGCGGGCTCCCAGGCGGGGCGGAAGGTCTCGGGCAGAGCGTCGGCGTGCTGCCCGGCCGCGCCGGTCGTGGGGCTGGCGCCCGCTGCGCCTATCGCTGCCGGCCATCATCGCCCCGTTCGTCCTCCTTCTCCTCCTCCGTTCCCTTTCCTGCCGTTCGTCCTCCCTCTCCTCCTCCATTCCTTTTCCTCATACTTCTCCCCGTCGAAGCCCGAAGCCAGTGTTTGGGGCGGGCCGGGCGTTTCGCCTGAGACGCCCTCACCACTTATGACTCCGAAGCGGAAACAATGGCAACCGTTTCACATATGGAGGGCGGGTGGTTTTCAAAATGTGGCTCTCGCCTCAGCGCCGCGCACACTCGTTCAACAAAAATTGCAAGAGCTTCGCGAATTGATGATAATCCGTTTGCAACATGTGGCTCTCGCCTCAGCGCCGCGCGCATTCGTTTTGACAAATTGCCAGAATCTCGCAGATTGAGGATAACCAGTTTTCAAAATGTGACTCTCGCCTTTAGCGCCGCACACCTTCGTTCTAAAATGTTGCAAGAGTTTCACGGATTGAAGGCGGCCCCTTTTCAACATGTGGCTCTCACCGTCGCGCCGCGCACATTCGTGCACAAAATGTGCAAGAGTTTCACGGACTCCCACGATCAACGTACCAGAAAAGGCGGTTTGGAAGGATTCCAGATTTTGCGGGTGCAACAGTAATTCTGGTTCGCGGTGTTGAAATCCCAAGAATAATTATGATTCTGACACGATCCAAGATCGTCCGAACGCAACAGTCAGGTTGATCCGTGGCGTTGAAATCCCGAGAGCAATGTTTTGGCATGCTTACAGATCTCCAAACAATTATCTTCCAACGAGGCAGATCCCTCAATAGAGATGAACCGTTGTGGGGACATGTGAAGAGGGAGCTTGGAGGGAGGGTTAATTCCAACATCGCTGATGGCTCTTGGGTTTACACTGGTCCTCCTCCTCGTCCTCCTCCTCCTCGTCGTCGTCGCCATCCTCGTCCTTGTCCTCGTCATCGTCGTAGTCGTCGTCGTCGTCGCCGTCGCCGTCGCGCCGCCGCTGTCGCCGTCGCCGTCGCCGCCGCCGTCGCCGTCGCCGGTCGCCGTCGCCGTCGCCGTCGCCGTCGCCGGTCGCCGTCGCCGCCGCCAGCCTGGCCGCCGCCGCCGTGCCGTCGCCGCAGCAGGCCTGGCTCGAGCGGCGGGCCCTGGCCGTGCCAGGCGGAGCTCACCGCGCCAGCGCGCACGTCCGCGCGCGCGCTGGCGCCCGGGTCGGGGGCCTGCCAAGAGGCGGCGCCGTCGGAGGGCCTGCGGTGCGCGCCCTGGGCGCCGCTCGGGGGCGCCGCCGAGGCTGGCGCGGCGGCGCCGCGGCCGAGGGTGTGCCGGAAGGCGCCTCAGGATCCGCTTGACATCGCCGCCGCCGCCGCCGCTGTCGCAGCCGCCGCCGTCGTCACCGCCGTCGTCGTCCTCATCGTCGTCGTCGTCGTCGTCGTAAGCAGCCCAAGGGGCCCCAAGATCCTCCCGACAGGGCCCATGAGGCCTCCCAGGGGGCCCCAAGACAGCCCCAAAACGCCCCAAGGCCGGGAAGGCCCAAGAGAGCCCCGAGGGCCCTAAGAGGGGGCCAATAAGGAGCACATGAACTAACAGTTCGAGCCGTTCTCCCCAAGATGGCCCCAACAGCCCCCCCGACGGACGCCCCGAGGCGCTCAGAAGGGGCTCTAAGAGGCTCCCAAGAGGTTCCCAAGAAGCCCCCCCGAGGCCCCGAAGAGCGCCCAAAGGCCCCCCGATACCCCCAAGAGCCATCCAAGAGGCCCCCGAAGCATCCCACCAGCCCCTCAAATGCATCAACGAAGCTCCTAACCCATTAGATCAGTTCCAAGATCGTCGCAAGCACTCGCTCCTTCTTGGGGGGTCGGCGGCGTGGCGTAAGCCACTTGGATCAGATCGGGGTATGTCTGGGCCCTATGTTTTCGCCTCTCGAGCGACAGTGAGGGGAGGCTGGGGAGGACGCGGGGGAGGACGGGGATGGCCCTCCTCTCCTCCTCTCCTCCTCTCCTCCTGCCTCTGGTCTCTGGCCCCCCTGCCTCGTAATTCCTCGTTTCGTTTCCCCCCCCCCCTCCCCTCTAACAGGAGATATGTCGACCCACATACCCCAGACTTCGTCGGGTTTTCACAAGGACCAACACTTCGGGTCTGAACCTTGGGATATACGATAGGGGAGGGGGCGTCCATCCTCAACAGGGGTGCATCCGAATAGCCCCCTTGGGGTGTATCCTAAGGTGCCCCTCTTTTTCTGGGCAGCTGCGTCTGTCATCGAAAAGGCGGGGGCTGGGGGAGAAAAATCGCCTGCGACCCCCCTCATCCCGCCAGTCCTCCCATCGACACGGGAGGCTCCCACAGGGCCCCCTAAGTGACTCCCAAGAGGCCCCAAAATGTATCCCCAGAGGCCCCCGAGAGCCGTCCCCAAAGAAGCCTCCCTGAGAACTCTGGCCAACGTCAGCGTCGTCGTCGTCGCCGCTGCCGCCGTCGTCGTCGTCTCCCTTCAGGGTCGGCGGAACCGGCCGTAAGGCCTTCGCAATCGCCTGCGACCCTCCTCTCCCCTCTGTCATCCCGCCAGTCATCCTCTCGTATCCTCTGTCAGCTTCCCCTGCACACGCCCCTCCAACCTACGACCGCTGCCACCTCCTGCGCCCCTGGAGATACACGGAATCCAATGAGCGACGGCACAAACGGGTCTTATGCGAAATGACCTTACGCGGTGGCTTACGCGGGCCGCCAGCGCGGCACGCCAAATTGGAGACAGGGGCGCGGGGCAGCCTGCGCGCGAATGTCGGCGCAGTTGGGCCCGTCGACGTCGCCCCAGTAAGAGACCTCGCCTCCACGAAAGTTGTTGCACTGATCGAATGTTCGCAACACTCTGAGCCTGTGGGGAGTCCCGCGGAGCTGCGTCCTACGCGAAGTCGCGTGAGACCGCAGCTGCCTGAGATGCGGAAGATTCCACCAGAACTGCCGTTCACGAGGATCCAAACGTGACCTCACCTGCACGGGCGCGTCACCTCTGGAACAAATTGATCCTCGTCCTAGCCCTGTCCGAACCTAACTTTGAGGGGTCGGCGGCGCAAACCACCCGAACAAACACGCGGCACGCATCCCACGGCTGCTGCGCGAGGAGTTCCCTGGCCGTAGTGGAGCGGGGCCACGGAACCGTGCGATGCAGCAGCCCAACCCACTCACTCTTTCGAACTTCCATTCCTAGTGCGTTGTTTGGTCTCGCGCGTGTTTGTTCGTCAAGATGATCCAAAATGCTCCAATTGGTCCCCAGCTTCTGGCGCTGGCCTCGGCGGAAAAAATGTGCACGTCTGAACGATGCCAAGCAACTGTGCACTGTGCTTCGGAGCGAAGTGGTGCACGGGCTGCAGTGGAAGAGGGGCGGAGTTGGCTGCGGGGGGAAGAGCGGACATCGTTGCGGCGGGCCGAGGCTGCGGAACCGTGCCTCGCCGTGCGACAGAGTGAGGGGCAACGGCCGGCTCTGGGGGGGGCTCAAGGGGGAAAGTAACGACCTGGATGGAATCGGCGATTCATCGCCGATAGATCGGCGATAGGCCCCCGATGGCGAATCCGCACGTTCCTGCTCGGGGTGGGGCTGTCAGACCCCTATCGGCGATCAATGGGCGATTCTGGGTCGATGCGTTCCCCCCTGAGCCTATCCCCCAAAATCGTTGCCCCTGACAGAAGGGTCGGAGCAGAGTGGTGGCGGCCGTGCGGAAGTGATGCGGTCGGAGCTCCAGCGCAAGAGACTGGAGAAGTCGGCGCCGAGCAGGCGCTCTGGCTGTTGGTGGAGGAGGGTGCGCGCTGCCTCCTGAGGGCGAGCGGGGTTGGGGCGGGGAGCCACGGCGCCACCACCGCCGTGGCGAGATCCGCAGACCCCCTCTCCAGCAGCCCAACATGCAGTCCGAGGGGTGATGGGGGGGCTGGTGTCGTGGGGGGGCGTGAACTCCTGAACGCATATCCTGGGCCCTCAGAGCCTCTAGATACACTCCTCTAGATACACTCTCGACGCTATCACGACTCCCCGGTGCGGGGCTGCGAGTGCCATGGAGTGTTACAGGAGCCAAAGCCTACGGGTCTACAGGCACTAACCAAAGAGAACGCCAAGCACCATGCGTCGCGCCTGATCGCGAAGCGCACGGCAGGCGGCAGCCTCCCAAAACGGGGGCCGCTGGGCCAATGTGGCCTGGGAAGGAACCTCGCCGGATGCGCTGGAGGTTTTCCCGACCCTTCTTCGTAAAGGGGGCACGCTCTTTGTATTAACTGCCTAGGGTCAACCATCGCCGACCACAACAGGAGCAGAAGTACAGAGATCGCAAAGGCCAGAAATGCAAGCGGTGACTGCCAGGACGAGGGTAAAATTGGGTGAGGAAAATCGCGAAGCTTTGAAATCCCTCGGCTCTGGAGGATGTCTCGGGAGCCGCGGTCCTCTCAGAGCCTGAGAGCGCTCCACAATGCTCTGGAGCGGATTCATCCTCGTCCAAGGTCGCCCCGTCCGATGGATCGGAGGACCCGAGGGGAGGACCTCTTGGTTCCCCCGTCATCAATCGGCTCTCCGGCGGCCGTTCGGGACGACCTGGGCAACCCGAGAACGCTCTCGGCGAGGCGCAGCTGCAGGAGGGCATCCCGAGGCTGGACAGCCGCCGAGAACCAACGAAACCTTTGGGATGCCTTGGGGCCGCGGCGGCGATTGGGGGCTGGCGCACCTCTCCCTGAGCGGGGACTGGGCGAGAGTCCAAGCGGGCCCCGAGCCCAGTGCCCCCCTGGAGGGTGCGGGGCCCCCAGGTGAGGGTGCGCGTCGACGCCGTGGCCCCGACCGCTCCCTGGGCCCAGCCGGGGCCCCTGGCCAGCATGCTCGCGTGCTCGTCTCCCCTCTGGGCCGCTAGCCTCGGCTTCCGCTCCGCGAGCTCTGCGTTATACAGGCCGACCAGATGGGGTCCGAGCAGAAGAATCGCGCAGCATCGCCGACGCATCAGCAATACATTGGCGATGCACTGGCGACGTCGGCGAAGCACGGGGCGACGTCGGCGTGGAGAAAATCTCTCTCCGAATCGAGCCGCATGGCCGATGCATCGGCGATGCGGCGCGATCCTCCGACCCCATCTACTCGGACACCATCTGGGAGGCCTAGAAGTCAGCAGCACGCGGTGTGCAGTCAAGCTGGTGGTGCAACTCGAGGCTGCAGTCGCAACGCTGAGAGCAGACGCTGGCAGCAACACACCACAGCAGGCCCTGAACGCAGGAGAAGGAATATATTTTCTGCCAACACAAAGATCCTGGATACACCAGGACCGCTAAGAGGAACAAGCATGGAAGGGCCCGGGGAACAGCGAACCACTTGCGAATCTGATCTGCTCCTTATTTCAGCGTCTTGACTACATGTGCACATGGCAAGCCAAGGAAACAACATATGTACAGCGGTGCGCGTCGCAACTCGTGCAAGGCCCATAGAGCGCGAGCGCACATGCCCGCGCGTGGCGTCAGGCTGGTGGCCTCGGAGGCGTGGACCGACGTTATTAAGGCCTCCCAGAGAGTCGTCAACGCTTTGCATCACGAGACCGGGTTCCGCCAGCGCCCCGCAGCATTCCCACGGGGCTGGAGGATCGTGGGCGCCTTCGCTGGGGGGCCGCCAGGCGGCGTTGGCGCCACCAGAGGTGGGCGTCGGCTCCTTCGTCGGCGGAAGCGGGAGCGAGGCGTCACTCGGATGAGGATGAGGGGAGTCAGCAAGTGACGTGGGTGAGCAGGGGGGAACGACTGGGGCTTGGTTTCTGTAGAACAGCATGTGCATAGTACATGGGAACTGTCTGTGATCCATGTAGGTATATATATATATATACGTGAATAAATGACTCAATAAAAAACATGTAACACAAAACAACACACACACACACGATAAGCATCCCGACATGCGAAGCCGTTCAGTAAAAGCACCCCAGGAAGGAGCCCAACAGGCCAGGGCTAATCATTAGACGCCCAGGGCCGTTTAGTAAACGGCAAGTATGGGGATAAGGGTGGATGTTCCCCCCTTACAGAAAGGTGCTGCTCAGCAGATTGCATGATGGAATGGAATACACTCAGGAGGAATATGGGAGATGACACGGGGGGAGGATCCCGGGGGCATGAGTATAGGAGGGAGGAGGCATGCGGGAGGGAGGGATGGAGGAGGGAGGTATGCGGAAAAAGGAGGATGGTTGACGAATGGTGAGGGAGGAGTGAAGAAGATGGCGAAGAGAGGGATGGAGGAGGAAGGATGAAGGATGCAGGAGAGGAGTGAGAGAAGGGGATGGAGAGGGGAGGTGACGGGGATAAGGACATACCTAATGCCGACCTGCCCTTGCTCGACGAGATCAACACAACGACGGCAAACCAAAATCCCAAAGGTGCTCGTTTCTGGCATTCGAAGATAACAAAAACAGCTTCTGGTATTCTGGACGGGCGTAATTGAAGCTAGTCACATCTTTAAACTCGGCGCGCAGACGCTATAACATCCGATTGGACACGACTCTTCCTGGCGGACAACAATAATACGTGACAACAAAGAAGCTGCGCAAAGCACATGGAGAATCATGGAGGGATAGTGGTAGGGAATGTGAGAGCCCTTGATTTCATAGCCGTGTCCTACGAGTGCACGCCTTCTGCAGGAAATTGGCGAAACAAACGAAGCGTCAATGACACGCCGCCGTGCGAAGCCCGCCAGCGTGTCTAAAACTCACGCTCTGCGCCGCGTGAAGAAAAGCGAATCACGGCGATCCTTCACGCTCTCGCTCTCGCTCTCACGACGAAGTCCTCCTCCCCCTCGTCCTCCTCCTCCTCCTCCTTCTCCTCCTCCTCCTCCTCCTCCTCCTCCTCCTTCTCCTCCCCCTTCCCCTCCTACGACGGCACGATATCTTCGGCCTCGTCCAACAGATCTTGCGACCCCTTCCTGAGGGCCGACTTCTGATCAAGAGTAATCTCTCGCCATTCCAATGGAGACAGAAGGAAGACGGCCTCCAGAGGCCGCGGATACGCAGACGCACATTGGGCTCGAAATCCTCGAGCCTCTAGAGGTCTGGGAACGACGACGACGAGAACGCCTCGGGCTGTGGCAGCCAGCCGGCGCTGGCGTTGGCTCCGGCGGCGCCGGCGGCGGCGGCCAGGGCGACCTGGGCTGAGGGGGACGGTCCCAAGTTCGCAAGTGCCAAAGTGCCAAAGGTCGGTGGACGCAGCCTGCTCACGAGCGACTCGGCGACACGCGAGTGGCCCTAGGCCTGAGTGAGCTGTGGTGCGCGGCTTCAGGGTGCCGCGGGGGCGCCAAATCCAAGCGGGCAGGCCAATGCTGGGCGGACCCCTTTAGACCCGCGCCAAAGGTCACTTCAGAGCAATGTCACTCGTGCGCGTAGCCGAAGAACGAGCATAATAACCTCACGATCTGGATACCTGGGCGCGATCTCATGGACGCGCGGCTCTGTGGGTGCGCTCCGCGCGGGACATAAGCGCCGAGCCGCACTGTATCACCACGGGTCGCGGCCCTAGGCTCTATCCCCATGGGTCGCGGCCCTAGGAGTCAAAGCCGCGAGGCCGCGGATATGGAGATCGTTCCCGCCCGCGACCAACGGCAATTTTGCGTCGTGGCGACTTGCGCGTTCGGCTCTGACCCTGCGCGGATCGTCCGAATCTGCGCTATGAAAGCCTCCCGACAGCGCAAATCGCCCGTGATCGGCTAATCCCGGGCTACTACTGGCGGAACGCAACCTTGAGCGCCCGCGCTGGGGTTGCCGCCGTGTCCACGGGGTGCGGGCCCGATAACCGAGGGGGGACGCGAGGGGGCGACCTGCTCGGGGGGCGAAAGCATCGAGCTAGGAATCGGCAATACATCGTCGATACATCGGCGGTAGGCCCCCGACAGTGAACCGCACGCTTCTCGGCCAGGCGGGCCACCGGGCCCCTGTCGGCGATCACTGCGCGTTTGGGGGGTCGATGCGTCCTCCCACGACTGAATCCCCCAGCCGAGGTCGTTGCCCGGCCACCGGGACGCCTTCGGCGAGGCGCAGCTGCCGGAGAGCATCCCGAGGCTGGAAGACCGCCGATAACCGACGAAAGCGTCCGGAAACCTCCAAAGTCGAGACATCGAAACTCGGCAACCTGGACGTGACTACCACGACATGTTCTGAGAACACAAGAACGTCGAGTAACAAAATCAATGGTTTACAACAGCAAGCCTATGTTTTAAAACAAGACGGCATTGGCAAGTACCAGACATGTTTTGACAACATGTCGCGCAAACCACAAGAGGTTCGTACAACTTTGTTTGTAGGCCTGTAGGCAGGAGAGGACGCCTCGCCACTGCTTGACCTTCGGCCACCGAATTGGCCCAGGACCGAAACCGCCTCGCCGCCGAGCCTCGCTGGCCTGCCACGCGTGCCCCGCTCGAGCGGAGCCCGCTCGGCTGCCGAGCGGGCTCGGACGCCGACCGGGCTCAGAAGGCAACCTCGGGGCGAAGCACCGCGGAGGCTGCGCCGCCCTGGCGCGGCAGGAGGGCGCAAATGCAGTGATCCCAGGCCGAGGCAGAGGGCCGGACAGGACAGGTACGGGCGGACCGCTCGCGGTGGTGGATGCGTCGCCCCCCAGGGCGCCTAACTTCGCGCTTCGCGCTGCGCGAATAACGTCGCGCTGTCGCGCGGCCCCCCACGGGAGAGGAGGAAGGCGAAGGAATCGAAACCGATCCGCGAAGCGCAGATCCGCCGACCCTGTCGGCGTGTGCGAGGGGCTTGGCTGTTCGACTCGTCGTCTCCGTCGGTCGTCGCCTCCGTCGCCCCATTTCCCTGCAGTTTCCTTCTCATTCTCGTGAGCGAGAGAAAAATCTAGCAGTGTCGTAATCGAGTCGAAAGGAAGCCCCTTCCCTTCGATCCCTTCCACTGGGGGGTCCCGGGGGGGGTCCCGGGGGGGTCCCGGGGGGGGGGGGGGGCAGATTCGTTTTCCCTCGGGCGGCCTCGACGCCTCGAAAACACTCCAAATGAGGTCCGAATGCCCAGAATGGCCCCCGAGACGGCCCAGGAGGGCCCCGAATCGCCCACAGATCGGCCGAAAACGCCCACGATAGCCCCAAGACCGTCCAAAAAACTTCCAAGACGCCCCAGGCCCCCTCCAAGAGACCCCCAGGAAGCCCCAAGAGGCCCCCACGAGGCTTCCAAGCGGTCCCGGAGAGCTTCCCAAGAGGCCCACAAACTACCCCCAAGAGGCCCCCAAGAGCGCTCGTCGTCGTCGTCGTCGTCGCCATTCAGGGTCGGCGGCACCGGCCGTAAGGCCTTCGCAATAACTTCGCGCCCTCGACGTCGCCCGGAAGGTGTAGTCACCGAGCCAGACCCCAGGATGGGGCTGGCCAGGTCCAGACTCAAAACAACGTCGTTTTGACTGTTCCACGACGCGGACCCCCGAAGATCTCGACCTCTCCCACGAACCGGTTTTTCGCCCTGGTTGCTGGTTCAAAGACAATCGTGTGACCCGGCGAGGGCCCCTGGTGACCAACAGTTTTCGAGCGCCCAAGCACTTGGAATGTTTCTGTTGCGCGCCAGGAGGTGTGGAGAGGCCAGCTCCCCAAAAAAACAATTATCCTCGGACCTCGTCGGACTTCGTCGCGGGGAGCAGTGGCGACACGAGCGGCAAGCGGCGTATCGGGGGCAGCAGCAAAAACACGCGTGACGTGGGCAGCTTTCTTTTACGTGGCGAATGGCGCGACGTGGGGAGGTGCGAGGGGCAAGGGGGGACGGAGGGAGGGATTGGGCGGAGGAAGAATAAAGGCGAGAAGGGAGGGTAAGAAGGGCATCTAACGATGATAAAGGCACTGATAGGAGTACTGGTATTGATAATGATGAGGATACTGATAACGGTACGGATGTGGAACCTCACGATGATGACGATCATTGTGATATGGCGATGACGGTGGCGACGGCAAGAAAAGCGACGACGATGATGGTGATGATGATGATGATAATAGTGGGGGCGATGCTGATGATGTCGAAGATGATGGTGATGACGACGGCCACGGTGATGATGATTCTGACGATGGTGATGGCGATGATGGTGATGATGGTGATGATGGCGATCGTGGTGGTGATGATGATGATGGTGGTGCACGCATGCATGTATGCTCCTCGAGACGGGTCTCGGCCCAGACCAGAGCTCGGAGAGGTGGCGGGTTACAGTAATGTACATTGCTAAAAGTGTGCAACCGAACGACGTTGCACAACTGTATTCACTCCATGGTACAAGAGCTCCGGAGATCGTGTAACAAAATTCCACGGCTGGGCGAGGTGGGGGGCAGCGAGAAAGAAAGAGCTCCCACCTCCAAGGGCGAAACTCACGCGAGTGGCCTTGTCGGCCGCGGCCAAGGGCCGCCTCTTGCCGACGAAGGAACCTGGCATCGCGAAAATGGAAGACCTGGGGAGTCAGACGGGCAGGGTCGCTCCCACTCATTTGTTCAAGCTGTCCTGGCCACCGATGCTGTATTGTCACTAGATAGTCGTCCCAGTCGAGGATATCGAATTATTTTCTCATCGCGTTGATCTTTCCACGCGTACGGTGCATGAATTGGTCCCGGGCCTCTTCCGAAGTCTTTCTGGAAACGAAAACTCTTCTGCGCATAGTGTCCTGGAGACCTCTGAGCTTTGCGAACTGGCCCTTTCTGAGCGTCCACCCTTTGGCTCCCGAAAAGAGACTGTCGCGCACGATGCTGCCGCACAAAAAGAGGCGCTTCTCTACGGGTGCGTGGTGCTGGCAGAAGAGCGAGCGACACTTGAACCATGTCTTTCAAGCCTGGGATATTCTGTACTCCGTGGCCGTTTCGTCACGTCCAACGAGTGAAAGCACCGCTCCGAGAACTTCGATGCCCTCGTTTCTCGGGATTTCGGTGATCTCCCGGCCCTGGACGCTGCCGGATTCGTCCCAACAGTGCGCCGAGGCAAAATATTCGCTGGACCATTGGCACCCTGCGAAGTCCACCTCGTAGCCTCCTTCCCTTAAAATCTGGAGCGAATTTTCCGCCGCAATTTTCACCCCCCTTCGGGCGCGGCCCAGGATCCAGAAGTTGTCCGCGAAACACAAGATCGGAACAGAGTGGTCCTCGGATGGGTCGGAGGATACTTGCTAGCGAATACCCCGCTTGCATGTCTCGCACCGCCTGGTGAACGTCTCGATCAGGCTGTCGAGACGCAAGTAGACAAGGAGAGGAGATGCAGGGCCCCCCTGCACCAGCGAATGAGCGCGTCCCACTGGGGCAGAACATGCGAGGTCGTCCAGGAAGACAGTCGCAGAAATCTTGCCAATCTCTCTAAGCCAGCCCGCCGATAGTATCTTTGGCATTCCGTGTTTAGCCCCCGCTATAGCTACTTCCCCTGTATCAGTGTAGTCGCAGGCCTTCAGGGTGCCCTCCGCGAGCGTGAAAAAGATGTTTGATGTTTTCCCTCTCGGGGCCCCACTCGATGCAATTCCCAAGAAGCTGCTGGAGGATAGAAATCACTTCTACTCACTACGCACTAACTCACTACTCACTACCCACCACTCCCTACTCCCAACTCCGTACTCCCCACACGAGGGGGGGGGGGTCCGACCCCCCCCCTTTCCAGCGCCAAGGGGAGGAGGGGGGGGGGGGGGTCCGGACCCTCCCCCTCCCTTCAAGGGAGGGGGGGGGGTTCGGGACCCCCCCCCCTCTTAAGGAGGGGAGGGGGGGGGGTCGGTCGCACCCCCCCCCCTGAAGTGGGGGAGGGGGGGGGAGGGGGTTCTGGACCCCCCCCCCTTTAGTATTCAGGGAGACATCCACTGGCGCACTTTCCAAATTTGGTCCTGTCTCGGGCCACTCCCCCAGCCCTGGATCCCCCCCCTCCCCCACGTCTATTCCCCCCCCCCGCTGCCGTTCGCCCGAGGTCACGCCTCTTTTTCTTTCTCGACCCCGGGGCGCGCCGCGTCGAGTTGGGGCAACAAGGCGCTGGTCGCCTCGGGGCCGCCGCGCACCTGGCCGCCGCCGCCGGGCCCGCCGCCGCCCGGCCGCGCGCCGACGGCGGCTTGGCCGTCGCCGCCGAAGTCACCGCCGAGGTCGTCGTCGAGGTCGTCGTCGCCGTAGTCGCCGTCGTCGTGGTTGTCGTCATCGTGGTCGTTGTCGTCGTGGTTGTCGTCATCGTGGTCGTTGTCGTGGTAGCCGACGTCGTTCGAGGATCGAGGCTCGAGGATCGTGGCTTGAATTGTTTTGCTTTGCCTAGCGATTATTGTCGCCTTGGCTGAATCTGCCTAGCGATTATTGTCGAAATGGACCCCAGGAGGGATCAAGGGCGGATTTTGAGAGGGGGCTCGTAGTTATCGTAGTTGTCGTCGTGGTCGACGTCGTCGGAGTCGTTGTTGTCGTCGTGGCAGGCGTCGACGCCGTCGTCGTCGTCGTCGTCGCGGTCGTCGTCGTTGTCGTTGTCTCACTAGTCGTCGTCGTGATCATAGTGGTCGTGGTCGTCGTCGTGCTTGTCGTGGTCATCGTGGTCATATGTGACGTCGCCTTGGTTGTCGTTGCCAAGATTAGAACACATGTTTGGTCATCTGTGGTCTCCGGAAACCTGGTTCCGAGCCCTGGGACCGTCAACCGTGGAACTGGGACCGGCCTTCTGTCTCAAGAGGGAAACGTCCGCGGCGACACCGACAGCGACTCATGTCCAAAGTGTGAACAAGAAGCGCTGCCGGACTTTGTGCCCATGCCTTCCTTACCCGTGTCAATCGTTGGGCGCGAATGAATGAGGGGCGTTAAGTGGGCGGGAGAAAGGGGTCCTCTTCGGGCCCTACAGGCCCCCTCTTGGGCCCCAGGGGGCAGGGGCCCTGGAGGGCCCCCCTCTGCAGCCCTCGCTGCCCCCCCACTTATCGCCCCTCTACAGTAGGGGCCCGACCAGAAGAAACCTTCCACAAGAATCCCAACCCTGAGACCCCAGTGCGTACATTGTTTTTTGGTGTGGGTACGTCACGCTTTCCATCGCAAAACCATCAAAACCCAAGAAACCCAGGGACTCTGGAGGCAAGCAGGGTGTTTCTTGGCATGGGCCTCCACTGTATCACGTATCCTCGGAGATCGTCCCCATTTGAGGGGCAACGATAGGGGGGGGGACTGGCATAGGGGGGGATGCATCGACCTGGCATTGGCGAAACATCGCCGATAGATCGGCGATAAGCCTCTGATAGTGAGTCCGCACCTTCCTGGGCAGGTTGGGGCTATCAGGCCCCTATCGGCGATCATTGGGCGATTGGGGGTCGACCTGGGCTCCCCGCCGTGCGCGCCCGCCCTCTCGCTCGCTCGCTGCTTCTCTCGACAGCCCTCGGCGGGCGCGCGCGGCCGCTGCGCTCTCTGGCCGAGGCGCGCGCGCGCGAAAGCCCCCCCCGCCCCCCGTCTCGGGGGTTGCGCAATTCGGCGGCGAGCCCGGGTGGGGAGTGAGAAGGGGCAAGCCTTCTGAGAAGGCTCGGAAGTCCCCCGGCCTTCGGAGGAGTGCTCTGAGTCTTCCCCGAAGGCACGGAGAACGTCTCAGTAGGCGCGAGGGCTTCTGAGAAGTCCCGCCGCCCTCTGAGAAGGCCTTTTCCTTCTCACTTCCCCCCTCGCTCGCCGCCGAGTAATGGGGGACGGTGACGCGCCTCCGTGGGTCCAAAACAGAGCACAGAAGGTGCACGTCCTCCCCCTATTCACAGCTCTGTCAGTACGCAGCGCCCGACCGTCCTCGGGGCGTGGGGGGGCATCTCTGGGGGAGGCCCCCCCCCCTCGAGAGGCGGAGGCGGCGCACCACCGCCGCGAGCAACTGCGCCAGCAACGCGAGCTGCGCGCGCGCTGCGGCTACCTCGCAGGGGCCCGGGCGGCTCTAGCAGTGAGTAAACGGCGACGGCGACGACGACGACGACGGCGACGGCGACGGCGACAGAGACGGCGACGGCGACGGCGACGGCGACGACGACGACAACGACGGCGACGGCCGCGGCGACGACGACGACAACGACGAAGACGAGGACGAGGACGAGGACGAAGACGAGGGCGACGACGGTGAGGAGGGTTGGGCGGGACCATCGGGGTCGCCAGCCGGGAATCATATTTTTGAGTACTGCATGAGACATATATATATATAGATACAGAGAGAGGGAGGAACGAACAAAGGGGTCGTCGAGGAGTGTGACATATCGTTGCCACCAAACGTTTCGCCAACCAGCTGCGTAGATATAACTTCGTAAATGCGTGGCCCCCGTTATCCCGTGGAGGCAGCCGACGCCGACGCCGACGCCGACGCCGCCGCCGCGTCCGCCGATGCTGCCGCCGCCGCCGACGCCGCCGACGACGACGACGACGTTACCGGCGGCGACGACGACGACGATGACGACGAAGACGATGACGATGACGACGACGGCGACGACGGCAACGACGACGACAACGACAACGACGACGACGACGACACCATCCTGTGAAGGCAATCATGCGCCACAGCCATGCCCGGCCAGGGCCCCCTTGGCCCCACAAGACGGTGCTCACGGCCCCCCGACATTGCCGTGGCCCAGGGCGGCTGTGGTCGGACATCGTGGTTTGCGTAAGGCTGCCTTCATCGATCTCCGACTCTGCGATTTTGAAACCCGTGGCTCCTCCATCTCAATTGGTGCGGTTCCTCCTCCCCTCCTCCCCCTCGTCCCCCTGCCCCTCCCCCTCCTCTTCCTTCACCTCCCTCATCCTCTTTCTCAGCCCCCCTTCCTCCCATCCCCGTCCTTCCCTAGTTGGGCAGCTTCGATATCTCACATGCCTGTTTGGAAATTTGACATTGCAGCGCTTGGATTATCCCCCCGCGATCATTGTTGCTCTCTCCAGCGCTGTGGCCTCCACTCAGTGCAAGGGCTGCTTGGAAGGAGCCAGGGACCTTGAATGGGCCCCCTCCCCCATCCCCCAACCCTCGCCCCCCGATGCGCATGAAAATGTAAAAAACAGAGATTTGGGATAAATTCGATGTTCGTTTCCCTTCCGGGTCCCATCGATTCCCAGATTTAAACTGGGATCGACGTTTACGTGTGCCTGCGTTAATTGCCAGACCCCTCGGCATTGGAGGCGGCCGGGGGGTGTGCGCTGGTTGGGCCCCGAGAAAATCTGTCAATTGGGATGAGATAGCCTCGATAGGTCTTCAATGCCACCCAAAAGTGGGCAAATAGTGAATTTGACCTGGGCCGAATGAACGCTGCCGAGGCCCTACAGTTGCCGCCTGATGCTGCCTCCGCCGCCGCCGCCGTCGCGGAGGAAGAGGAGAAGGGGAGCGGGGGGAGGAGGGACACTCACCAGGAGACAAGGACAGATCGCAGGCGGTCACGACCACGAAGAGAGGGAAGGGGGTCCGTCTCCTCGGCGGCGGCAAGCAAGCGGGGCGGCGGCGGCACAGCGGGAGGGGCGGGCGCGTCCGCATCGAACCCGTCCCCTCGAGCTGCGGAGGCCGCTGCGGCCGCTGACGCCTCCGAAGGGCAAGCGCCGCCGCGCTCTGCCGCTGCGTGGACGGAGGCCGGCGCGCGCCCCTGCTGGGCGGAGGCGAGGCTCCATCAGCGGGGGGCCCAGAAAGGACGTACGCGCCCAGCTATGTACATGAACACGGCCCCTCGGTCCGCGAGACCGGCCGCGTTACACGAACGTTTGCGCAGCGCGTGCCCTCGAAACCAGCGCGGATTCATGTACGTGTGCGTCCTTCTGTCGCTCCTGAAGCAGCGGGGGGCCGGGCCGCGGATGCGGGAGAGGGCGCGCGCGGGCCCACCCTGCGGGAGCAGCCTGGCCGCCTCGGGCGTTCCTGCGCTGGCCCTGGCCCTCGCTCCCGCACGTGCGTCGCGTCGAGGGCTCTCTCGCAGGAGAAGGAAGAGCAACTCTGAGCGCACGGAACGTGGGCAGGAGGACATTTACAGCACCGGAGCGCGACCAGAGAAGGGCGACCGACGGGTGAGACAGGCGCGGGAGGAAAATGCGTGGGCCGGGCGAGTTTCCAGCCAGGCCCGGGCCAGGGAGTCGAAGGGGGCGGAACTGGCTCACAACGCGAAGAAAGGTAGCGATCCAGGGAGTCACCATCTACCCCGCAGCATCCACGCCGACACGGACGGGCCGAAGAGCAATACCGATCGGAAGTGTCCCAAGCGCTGCGACAAGTTGCAAAGTAGGCAGTGACGCAAAAGTCGGGAAGCTTGCGAGCGGCATTCTGGAACCGAATCAACGCGACCAGCGGGTCCGACCCAAAAACGGGCACCTACTTCTGAATTTTCGTCTGGGAAGCCCTGATGGGGTCGAACTGACCTGAGTGCTTCGTCCGAGTTTTCAGGCACCCAGCTCGAAAGTCGCGCATGCCTCGATCCGCGGGCATTCAAGAGGCAACGTTCCGAAACTCAGGAGTCCTCTGGAGGCGGGTGAAGATGGGCGTCTTGAAGTGAGGGGGGGGGGGGGGGGCGAAAGCGAGGATCAGCTCTCCATGGTGGCCCAGCTCCTCCAGCAGACGCTGAGCTGTGTAGGATGCACCGGATCCTCGAGCAATCCTGGACGCAGCGGCCTGGGCATATGGAGCGAGAGACCCGGCGACATTCCCGTCGTCATAGGGCTGGCCCAAAACAGTTGCGGCGCCCCGCGCGGCGCCCGAAATGCGCTCCGAAAGGCGCCCCAAAACTGTTCATGTTTGTTCACGCGCGGCGCGCTTCGCGATTGCCTTCCCGGTTTTCCCCGATGCCCTCGCAGCCCCTTCTCTCGATTACCCGATGCCTTCACTACTACTCTCGTTTGCCCTCTGCCGTCAAATCTCACTTCCAAGGGCCCCATTGGGCCCCATCAGTGCGACGCGCAGACGATGCGTTCAGACGGCCTGGACACGCGTTCGAAGGCCCCCTGCGCGTTCAAGACGAAGCCCGCACGGCGCCCACAACGGATGCATGGCTTGGTCAGCTGCGCGCCCGCAAACGCGACCCCCCCAAAAAAACCCAGCCGCGCCCGGAAAAAGAACTCGGCGCCCCAGAATGCGCCGAGCGCGGACGCGGGCAGATTGCGCGGAACACGCCGCGGGGCCCGCGTCTGGGGGCGCAGGGCCCCCCGAGATGGACCGGCCGACGCCGCAAGCACGCCGTGCGCCAGACAATCTCTTCGCGCGCACTCTTGGCGCGCGTCGCGACGCGAAGGGTGGCAATGCGCAGGCGATGCCCGGGCACGCCCATTCGGGGTCTCGGGCCCGCACCACTACGATCACGGCGCGCGTTGCGGTCGCAGTCGAGATGCTGTTTCGAGGGCCAGCCGTCAGAGTCTGTGCAACGCGATTTCGATCGCCCGGGCGCGGAATTGGGCCGCTCGGGAAAAACACTGGGAATGTCCTAGCGCTGACCCCGACATCCAAGAATCCCTGCAGGCCTGCCCCAGGAGCCACGGCCCCCGCGGATTCCAAGAATAACCCCGGAATGCGCCACAGACTGCGCAATCCGGGGCACGTTCGCGTCGAGGTCTCACTTTTGAAACAGCGCCAGCGCCTCCCGGCAGGACGGCGGCGGTCTTGCGAGGGCGCAGCAAAACGCCAGGAAAAAATTAGCCTGGCGAAGGACCCAACCATATGCAGTTGTGAGTACCGCAATTATGAATATCTTCTTCGGTGCTCCCTATGGGGCAACGAAGCGCTGTACTGGGTGGGTGAAACGCAAGGAGCAAGGGCTGTGCTGGGTGGTGGCTGACGCATGCGGGCGGTGCCACTGGGACCTTCGCTGGAACCCCCTGTGGGGCCATGAAACGCTGTACTGGGTGGACGAAGCGCAGGGAGCAAGGGCTTTGCTGGGTGGTGGCTGACGCATTCGGGCGATGCCACTGAGACCTTCGGTGGAGCTCCCTATGGTGCCACGGAACGCTGCACTGGGTGGGCGAAACGCAGGGAGCAAGGGCTGTGCTGGGTGGTGGCTGACGCAAGCGGGCGGTGCCACTGGGACCTTCGGTGGAGCTCGCTATGGGGCGCCACGAAGCGTTGTACTGGGTGGGTGAAGCGCATGGAACAAGGGATGTGCTGGGCGGTGGCCGGCGCATGCGGGCGGTGCCACTGGGACCTTCGGTGATGCTCCCCATGGGGCCACGAAACGCTGTACTGGGTGGGTGAAACGCAGGGAGGAGGGGGAGGAAGGCCACATAACGCTGTACTGGGTGGGGGGAACGCATGCGGACGGTAGACCTGGAACCTTCGGTGGAACTCCCTATAGGGCCATGAAACGCTGTACTGGGTGGGTGAGACGCAGGGAGGAGGGGGAGGAAGGCCACGAAACGCTGTGCTGGGTGGGGGGGACGCATGCGGACGGTAGACCTGGAACCTTCGGTGGAGCTCCCATGGGGCCACGAAATGCTGTACTGGGTGGGTGAAACGCAGGGAGGAGGGGGAGGAGGGCCACGAAACGCTGTACTGAGTGGGGGGACGCATGCGGACGGTAGGCCTGGAACCTTCGGTGGAACTCCCTATGGGGCCATGAAACGCTGTACTGGGTGGGTGAAACGCAGGGAGGAGGGGGAGGGGGGCCACGAAACGCTGTACTGGGCGTGGGGGACGCATGCGGACGGTAGACCTGGAACCTTCGGTGGAGCGCCCTATGGCGCCACAAAACGCTGTGCTGGGAGTGGGGGGCGGATGTGGGCATCCCCACTGGGGCCTTCGGTGGAGCTCCGTATGGGGCCACGAAGCGCTGTGCTGGGCGTGGGGGACGCATGCGGCCCCCCCCACTGAGGCCTTCGGTGGAGCTCCCTACGGGGCCACAAAGCGCTGTGCTGGGCGTGAGGGACGCATGCGCCCCCCCACTGGGGCCTTCGGTGGAGCTCCCTATGGGGCCACAAAGCGCTGTGCTGGGCGTGGCATCCGCATGCGGCCCCCCCCACTGGGGCCTTCGGTGGAACTCCATCTGAGGCCACGAAACGCTGCCTTGAGCGTGGGGGACGCGTGCGCCCCCCCCCCACTGGGGCCTTCGGTGGAGCTCCCTATGGGGCCACGAAACGAATCAGCCATGGCGATGCTAATAATAGTAGTAACAATAATAATACAGATAACAATAATAATAATACTAATCATCATCATCATCATCATCATCATCATCATCATCATCATCATCATCATCATCATCATCATCATCATCATCATCATCATCATCATCATCATCATCATCATCATCATCATCATCATCATCATCATCTCATCATCATCATCATCAGCAGCATCAGCATCAGCAGCATCAGCATCAGCATCAGCATCAGCATCAGCATCAGCATCAGCATCAGCATCAGCATCAGCATCAGCATCAGCATCAGCATCAGCATCATCATCATCATCATCATCATCATCATCATCATCATCATCATCATCATCATCATCATAAAAATAATCATACTAATAAGAAATAGATAAAATTATCCTGGCGAAGGACCCAACCATATGCAAACGTGAATACCGCAGGGCAGGTGGGACGAAGCAAAAAGAATTCCCAATGTGGCCACGAACCGTGTGAGGGGTGCGCCACACTGGGGCGGGGCCGCCATGCGAACCCTGCCACTGAGGCCTTCGGTGGAGCTCTCTATGTCCCTGCGGGGCCACGAACCGTGTGAGGGGTGCGCCAATATGGGGCGGGGCCGCCATGCGAACCCTGCCACTGGGGCCTTCGGTGGAGCTCCCTATGGGGCCACGAACCGTGTGAGGGGTGCGCCAAAATGGGGCGGGGCCGCCATGCGAACCCTGCCACTGGGGCCTTCGGTGGAGCTCCCTATGGGGCCACGAACCGTGTGAGGGGTGCGCCAAAATGAGGCGGGGCCGCCATGCGAACCCTGCCACTGGGGCCTTCGGTGGAGCTCCCTATGGGGCCACGAACCGTGTGAGGGGTGCGCCAAAATGGGCGGGGCCGCCATGCGAACCCTGCCACTGGGGCCTTCGGTGGAGCTCCCTATGGGGCCACGAACCGTGTGAGGGGTGCGCCAAAATGGGGCGGGGCCGCCATGCGAACCCTGCCACTGGGGCCTTCGGTGGAGCTCCCTATGGGGCCACGAACCGTGTGAGGGGTGCGCCAAAATGGGCGGGGCCGCCATGCGAACCCTGCCACTGGGGCCTTCGGTGGAGCTCCCTATGGGGCCACGAACCGTGTGAGGGGTGCGCCAAAATGAGGCGGGGCCGCCATGCGAACCCCGCCACTGGGGCCTTCGGTGGAGCTCCCTATGGGGCCACGAACCGTGTGAGGGGTGCGCCAAAATGGGGCGGGGCCGCCATGCGAACCCTGCCACTGGGGCCTTCGGTGGAGCTCCCTATGGGGCCACGAACCGTGTGAGGGGTGCGCCAAAATGGGGCGGGGCCGCCATGCGAACCCTGCCACTGGGGCCTTCGGTGGAGCTCCCTATGGGGCCACGAACCGTGTGAGGGGTGCGCCACACTGGGGCGGGGCCGCCATGCGAACCCTGCCACTGAGGCCTTCGGTGGAGCTCCCTATGGGGCCACGAACCGTGTGAGGGGTGCGCCAAATGAGGCGGGGCCGCCATGCGAACCCTGCCACTGAGGCCTTCGGTGGAGCTCCCTATGGGGCCACGATCCTCGTGAGGGGTGCGCCAAAATGGGCGGGGCCGCCATGCGAACCCTGCCACTGGGGCCTTCGGTGGAGCTCCCTATGGGGCCACGAACCGTGTGAGGGGTGCGCCAAAATGAGGCGGGGCCGCCATGCGAACCCTGCCACTGGGGGCTTCGGTGGAGCTCCCTATGGGGCCACGAACCGTGTGATTGGTGTGCCGAAATAGAGACATGCGGAGGGTGATGCTGATGATGACGCCGAATATCATGGTGATGTTGATGATGACGATGATGATGATGACGATGATGACGATGATGATGGCAGGAGGGAGGGGGCAGCGGGAGGAGGGGAAGGAGGGAACGCGGGGCACCCTCTCTTCAAAACGAGGACCCAGCACCACAGGATGGTTGAGACAAATAAATACATAAATAAATAAATAATAACAATAATAATAATAACGATGATGATGATGATGATGATGATGATGATGATGATGATGATGATGATGATGATGATGATGATGATGATGATGGTGGTGATGGTGGTGGTGGTGGTGATGAAGATGAAGATGAAGATGAAGATGAAGATGAAGATGAAGATGAAGATGAAGATGAAGATGAAGATGAAGATGAAGATGAAGATGATGATGCTGATGCTGATGCTGATGATGATGATGATGATGATGATGATGATGATGATGATGATGATGATGATGATGATGATGATGATGATGATGATGGGAGGAGGGGTGAGCTGAGACATGCGGAGAGCGAAGGCAAGGATCGGGGAGGAGGGAGGAGGAGGAGAGGAGGAGGAAGGAGGAAGGAGGTGGGAGGCGGGGCGCTGTCTCTTTCAAAACGAGGACCCAACACCACAGGATGGTTGGGAAAAAACAGCAGCTCGCAGAGGGCGCCGAATAGACATAGAAAGGCGCACGCGGATATTTCGGGGGGGGAGCGCATCATCGGCGCGAGCGCCAGTGCCGCAAAGAATGGCGGACGGAGCGTAGCGCAGCCCTGGGCCAAGCGCCAACCCGCCGAACACACGTATCATCGTGTTGGCCGTGCTGACAAGGAAACAATACAGCCTGAGCATAACGGGGGGCACGGGGGGAGATAGAACTGGCAACACTCGCAACACAAGAGGCGCCGAACCCATCGTACTGAGAACGTCGTGCCTGGCCTTGAGCAGCGCAATCTCCCGCTGCTGTGCTTTGTGAGCCTTTTGAGGACCACCTCTCAAAGTGTCCATGTCATGGACCACATTCACTTGGGTACGCTTGCACTCGTCCACGTTGTGGTCGGCGTTTGCCTGCGCGGTCTTGATATGACCGATCTGGCCCTGAACTTCACCTACCGTGAACGCGAGAGAGCCAGTCGTGCCCCGCATCTGCTCCGAGAGGGCCTCCTGGTGCAGAGCCACCTGCGCAGTCAGGGTGGCGCCCTGAGACTCGATGGTGGAGCGCATGGGCTTCTCCATGTGGCGGAGCGCTCATCGGATGCCGAGGCGGCATGGCAAGAAACATAAGTGCACATTGAGAGAAACATATCGAGATGTGTCCTCCTGGGGCTGGCGCCCGGGATCGCACCTACGAGATGCGCAGCTCACTCAAGACTGGACCCTTCCACGACCTTGAGCCAGGCGCCGGGAACCGTGCTGTGGGAAGGCGAAAACCCACCCCAACCCCCAGTCCCGACCCCATCCCCGAACCCGCGATCCAGGGGGACGGGGCTGGGTGTGGGGGTGGCTCTTCGGGGCCCACGGATGGAGGAAACCCGCCCCCACCCCCAGTCCCGACCCCTTCAATCGCTGGCTCGGGGATGGGAGTCGGGACTGGGGGTGGGGGTGGGGTTTCGCCTCCTGGTGCTGGGCCACCTTAGACCCCCAGCCGACTTCCGCGGGTCGCGGACGGGGGGGCCGTCCGCCTCGAGCACGAGGGGCCCCACCTTCGCGACCTCCAGCGCCAGCGCCTGCACCTGCGGCGCGGGCGGGCGAGCGCGGCGCCCATCCCCCCTTCGCCTCGTTCAAAGAAGCCAGGCGACGGCTGGCAGGGCCCGTGGCTGCTGAAACGCCTTGCTCCCTGGAAGCAGCCAGCTTACGATTTGGCCCGCTGAGTTTTCTCCCGGGGCTTTGTTCTTCCTTCCGGGAAGGCCGTTCGCCGAGAAGGAGGCGCACGCCCGAGCGATGCCGAGGCCTGGGGCATGGTACGGCCACGGGGCGGAGAAGAATGTGGACGGCAAGCCGCAAGAAGCAGTCAGTCCTTCGACCGAGCCTGGGGTGCCTCCCAAATTGGGTCCGAGTCCATGGGATTAGAGGCTCGAGCCGCATCGCCGACGCATCGCCGATGTATCGGCGATGCCAGCGATGCACCCTCGCCATCGGCGTGGAGAAAATCGGGTTCCACATCGAGCCGCCGCGACCGAAGCATCGGAGATGACACGATGCGGCGCAGTCCACCGACCCCATCTACTCTGACTCCACTTCGAAGGCCTGGACCTGAAGGGGGGGGGGGAAGGCTGACCCGACGGGGGTGGAGATTTTCGTCGATACTGCACCTGGGGAGGAGGAGCAGGATTCTTTCTGGGCTGCTGCACGGCGGGCCCGCCATGCGGAGAACGGGGGTGGGTGACGAGGGCACCCAAAGCTCCGACCGCATCATTGTTTGGAACCGGGCGTGCTTTGTGTCAGTAGGCCTCGGCCCCTGGGGCGCATTTTGGGGCACGGGGACCATCACCATTGGGCTCGTGGCGGCAGACCAGCCCGAGGAAAGGGGATCGGACCTCTGGGGCCGCGCGGTGAACAAAAGCATACCGTCCGAAGTCTGGGAAGAAGTGGGGTGCTGAGGGAAGCGGAGGGAGAGCTGAAATGGAAGTGGAGGCATCGAAGCGGCTACACGCAAGAGTGACCCCAATCAAGAGTGACCTTTGGTGCGCAGCTTCAGGGGGGCTGGAGGGGAGGCCAAACCCACGAGCGCAAGCCGCTGCTATCGCACCGCATTCAGCGATCTGAAGACCCCAATTGGCACCAGAAGTCACTCCAGCGAAAGGCCACTCGTACGAGCAGTGGATTCGTCGACACACGCCGCCCTCGCTCAGGGGGGTGGCGATAGGGATGTCGGGGGTGTGAGGTCAAACCTCCCCTCCAATCTGCCGCGCAACCCCCCCCAAGGTCGCTCCCCCCCCCCCCCGACCGAAGTGGAGGCAGCGATACAGGCGGGAGGAAGGAGGCGGAAAGGGAGGCGGCGAGATGGTGGAGGGGGTGAGAGCAGGCTTCCGAGGCACTTCGGATAGCTTGTTGCACCTGTGACGCCCATCCCCCGCACGCCCACTGGAGACAGAGAGTGAGAAGAAGGTGGAAAGAGGAGGATGCGGGAGGATTGGAGAATGGGGGAGGGAGCGAGGAGTAGAAAGGCTGGCTGGTGGCCACTGTGGGCATTCTTTGAGGGCTGCAGGGACAACACCCCGAGGGCAGCCGGGAGGTGGACCAGCCGCGGCCTGACCTCAGTCGGTTCCCACATCCGCGCACAGGGGACAACAACTCCGGTGGAAGGAGGGCCCCCCCCACCTCCCTGGCGATCTCCAGGGGTAGCAGGGGATGGAGGGCATCCCACCTTGCACCAAGGGTTTCCCGAGTGAGCGCATGTGAGTGCGGACAGGGAGCTGTGAAAGGGATCCGCCCTGGGGTCAGCCATCCAGTCCTTGCAAGGCATACCGCAGTCTGCCAGCGTGGGTGGTGGAGACCATCCGGATCCGCTCCCAGCCCCCACCCCCGACCCACCTCCGCGGCCTCAGTCCTACCTGACCCCCTTGGGGCCAGGACGCACTAAGCAGCCGGAGACGGCAGGGCGAGGGCGAAGGCGGCTGAGTCTGGACGGAGGAGTGGACGGGGAGCCCTGGAAACTTCTTCGCTCCTAAGAGAGGACGAAAGAGACAGGAGAAAGGAAGGGAGGGAGGGGGCAGCACTGGCAACAGCTTGCTTGAAAACTCGGGCTCGCAATGAAAAGCATGCGTTCACCCAGCATCTTAGTGGATATGTAGCTTATGCGCCCTCGGCTGGAGGCCCCAACCCCTCGGAACAGAATCCCCCAGCCTTCGACACGAGCGGCCCTGTGACTGGTCTGGCCACCGGCCTGCTATGCAAGAAGTCCCTGAGTTGCTAGCACCTGAGAGGGAACGGGACGAGGGAGGAGGGAGGAGGGATGAGGGAGAAAAGGATGGCTGGCCTGGGCTGGCCTGGGCTGGCCTATGCTGGCCTCGACTGGCCCGGGCTGGCCTCGGCTGGCCCGGACTGGTCGCGGCTGGCTCAGGCTGGCCTGGGCTGGTCGGGGCTGGCCTGAGGTGGCCTCGGATGGCCTCCGCTGGCCTGGGTTGGCCTGGGCTAGCCCGGGCAGGCCTGGGCAGGCCCGGGCTGGCCTGGGCTCGCTCTCGCTGGCCTCGCCCCAGAAGGAAGGAGCAGGGATAAGGGAGCAGGGGGCAGACGAGAAGCGAGGGGAAAGGGGGGGGGGGAAGGAAAAAGGGGAAAATCGCGTGGTGGCAATAACTAGGCGTCTTCATGCGCTGCCACGCGCAGAGATAGCCACGAGGAGGGCGATTGCCCCGGACTCAGAAGGTGCGAATGCGGGGAAATGCGGGTCGTCCGGGGCGGCCGACAAAGGACCTCCGGAGGTCACCGGGACAAACAAAATAGCCCCCGGAAAACTCTCGGCGGGGCGCAGCCCTGGACAGCGAAAGCAACCGTGGACGTCAGCGCATTGCCCCAAAAGGCATACCTACTGGAGACACCGTGACCGCGGCGCGCGAACGCCCACCAGGAGACAGGAAAGGGATGGGAACAGAGGTTCGGCAAATGATACGATCGATCCAGCACAGGCGTACTTGATGCCGCTGCACAGTCGGCGCGGTGAGACAAAAAAAAAGCGTTCGCTCAAAGAGGGGCTCGGGGAGATGGGGGGAAGCACGCGGGGCAGGGTACCGCAGGAGATCCGAGCGCACCAGCTCTAGCACAGAGAGACTAGCATCACCTATCCCCAAGGTGCGAGCATATCCCCACAAGCAAGGCAGGGCGGAGAAGACTCCCGCAGGCCTGCCAAAAAGCACCCCTGGCCCTACCAGAGGCCCAAAACGCACAAGCTTCCCCAGCTGCGCCCGGCTGTGGCGACGAGAATGCCTCCAGCAAGCTGCCGGGGGCCCCCACGAAGAAAGCAAGGCGGAAAAGACCACCAAGCCAAAAAGCACCCCCGGGGACCAAGCACACCAGCTCCGCCAGCAGCATCCAGCCGTGGCGACGAGGAAGCCCCCAGGAAACCGACAACCAGCGCCCAAAACCGCACGCCGCCAAAGAGCCTGGCCTCAGCGTCCAGCCGCCCAAACACCCGGCGCTCCCGGGGCCCCCTGCCCACCCCCCGGGACAAACACCCCCGGAAGACACGGAAAGGGCGGGCCAGACACACCAGGGCTGCTCTCGGGGAGGCACAGCTGGAAGACGGCATCCCAGCGAACTCGAGGGGGAGGAAACACCTCGCCGACTCTTCGGGAGAGCCTATGGTCGTGGCCCCTGCAGCAAGGAGGCCGCCCGTAACGGAAGGCGGCGTAGCCGAGAAAGAGGCGACGGCTTTCGGCAAAGTGAGCGTTGACTCGGCGGGGTACGCGACATGCGTGGAGCTCGCTGGCAGCATCTGATCGTGCCTCACGCCCGCGATCCCAACCATATCTGAGTTGCAACAGCCCGCTGGGGTAGGACGCATGCCCACCAGGAGGGGTGCCGCAGTCCTTGCTGCATTGCCTATTGACGTGTCTCCTGCCTTGTGGAGGCTGCACGTGAAATACTCGAAGAGGAGGGAACTCATTCCAAATGCGAATGCGTTGACTCAGCGGGTATAAGGACTGCGAGGACCTCGTTGGCTGCATCTGGTCCTGCCCCTAGCCTGGAAAGCAAACAGTATTTGAGTTGCTACCACCCGAACATGTAAAGCACATGCCCACCATGAGAAGCGCCCGTGCCGCTGCCGAGATGTCAACTGACCTAGCCCCTGCCCCAAGAGGGCCGCACAATATGATCAGCAACGTATTCGTGAGGGAGGTGTCCCAGCGCGAACGTGTGAACGTCAGCCTGCCGGGTATACTCACTGCGTTGAGCTCGCTAGCTCAAACTGGTATTGCCCCAAAACCGCGATGCACACGGTCCCTGATCTGCTACCGCCCGCTGGGCTAAAACACGTGCCGGCCAAGAGGAGTGCCTCTGTCTCTTCGGATATGTTTGTCGACGTGGCCCCTGCCAAAAGGGTACTCCACAGGATGGCCGAAGTGACGCCTCCGCCCCCGTTTCCACCATCACTTCCGCCGCCACTATTCGCCTAACACGCACTCTGCCGCCGCCGTCCGCCTCCGTCTCCCCCCAAGCCGCCGACACCACCGCCTCATCCGCAGCCGCCGCCTTCGCCCCCGCGTCCACCGTCGCCACTGCACTATCCACATCGGCTCCACATGCGGCCGGATGGGCTTCACGAGACGGCCCACAGACCTGAAAAGGATCGAGCCATCGTGGCTACGGAGGGGGGAGGGGCCCACCATCTGGAGAGAGGGGGAGGGGGAGGGGCGACGCGCTGAGATGCCCCGGAGGTCACCTTCGCACTGCTCCTCTCGGGCCTCTTCCGACGGGAGGGGGGGGAGGGGAAGCACTGGGATGCCCCGGAGGTCACATTCGCACTGCTCCTCTCGGAGGATGAAGGAGATTCTCTGCTCGCGAAAGAGGGCAGTGGAAAGAGAGGTGTCCAGAGAGTAAGAGAAAGAGAGAGAGAGAGAGAGAGAAAGAGAGAGAGAGAGAGAGAAAGAGAGAAAGAGAGAAAGAGAGAGAAAGAGAGAGAGAAAGAAACAAAAGGAGGTGGCCCCTAACCAGACTAAGGAGGAAGGGGCGGGAGTTCCTGACCGACCCTGTGGAGTTCTCGCCCTGCTGGTATGGAACGGTCCATGTCCCCGAACCGATGCATAGCTTCCAACAGATTACCCGTGAGGACGGGGAGGTGGGACAGGAGGAAGCATGGGATGATGGGCAGGAGGCGGGCCCTTCCTACAACCCCCAGGCTCGGGAAAATAGAACGAGCAGCGAGCGCCACACTGCTCGCACTGCCCTCGTGAAGATACCAGGCTGACTGCCGTCTGATGAGTTGCGCGCATCGTGGGCATACGATGTGCACCAAATGCTCAAGATCGCAGATGAATGCTCGCCGCGGCCGACTCCGTCGTCGTCGTCGTCGTCACTTTCCTCGTCCTCGTCGTCGACGTCCCCGGCTTCGCCCTCGTCGGTCGGTCGGAGACTGACGACTAGAGTAACAAAACTGCATAACATAACCTGCGCGAGGATTTCTTCGTTCTGCGCTGGACGCCCCTCCCTGGCGCGCTCCTCGCGCCAGGAGCGGCGCCGGAGGCGCCGCCAGGGGGGCCCAGCGCAGACCCAAGAAATCGGCGCGGAGCTCCGAACGTTTATGTCAACGCTGTTGCGTGGAAGGTGCTGCCGACTCGCCCTCGCCGCCGCCCCCTTCCCCCTCGGGGATCTAATCACCCATGTCAATCCAGACCTGGATCAGTCAGGCTTTGTAGGATCCTGCAAAATCCCGCAGGATACTGCACCCAAACCCGCGGCAGTGCACCCCTGGCTCTGCAGCAGCATCCTGCAAGATCGGGCGCTCTGACTGACCCCCGTTTCCACTGACCCCCATCTCTTGAGCCCCCGGCGTTCCTGCGCGCACAGCGCCGCCCCAGCCTCTGCAGTGCTCGGCGGCGCGGCAGCCCACAGCACCTGGCCGAGGCCCCGCGGAGTCGGACGGCTCGGTGCGGTTTTCGGGCCCCGCGGCTGCCTCTGCCGCAGCAGTGGTGCAATCGACGCCTGGGTTTGGTCGACGCGACTCGATGGCGAGCGAGGGGGGGAATGAGAAGAAGAAGGCCTTCTCAGAGGGCGGCGGGACTTCTCAGAAGCCCTCGCGCCTTATGAGTGGTTGTCTGCGTCTTCGGGGAAGGCTTAGAGAACTTCTCAAAAAGGCCAGGGGGCTTCTGAGCCTTCTCTGAGGAGGCCCGCCCCTTCTCACTTTCCCCCGTCGTTGGCCGCCGATTTGCCGCAGCAGTGCTGCACTCGACACCGTGGTGTCGTCGACGCGACAACCGAACATACAGTCGGACCTGAGACAGAAAACCATCCTTCAAAAGAACGAGACTCCCAGCCCGCAAAATGATAGGCATTCGAGGGTGCCCTCCCCAAGGACGCACACGAACATCCAACGAACACGAGGAGCATTAGAGCACCCTCCTCGAACCGACCTCGACCTTGCAGTGAACCCGCATCATATGGATGCGCCATACGGATGCAAGGGCCTCGGAAGGCCATGTCGAAGCTCTTCGAGCGGGGCGCGGTCAGCGAAAGTGGCCAAGGATGGACCGAGGAGGCAGGGATGCGAGGGTAGGGTGCCCATCCTTACCATGCGCTTTGACTGCATGCCTCGGTCCGGCCGTGGCCCAGCTCGGTCTTCCGGGCCGCCTGGCCTCTCGGGCGCTCGGCCGGCGCTACCCCCGCGGGCGGCCCCGCTCTGGCGCGCGCAGAGCCGGGCGGGTGCCCATGAACTCGGGGGACTCGCAGTTGTTCCCCCCTCCTCTCCCCAGGAGGACGAGGAGGACAAGGGCATCTTGTCAGAGTTTGCTCTATTCCTGCGCGTCGCTGCAGAGGGGGGCGATGAGCGGGGGGGGGGCGAGGAAACGGGCATCTGCCGTGCGCCTTCGGGGCCCAAGGAGGCACCCTCACACGCTTCGTGGCATAGGGAGCTCCACAGACGGTCGCAGAGGGCTAGGCCACATGCGGTCCCCCCGCCCATTTCGGCACAACCCTCAACACGCTTCGTGGCCCCCTAGGGAGCTGAAGCAGAGGCCCCAGTGGGCAAGGCCACATCCAGCCCCCCCGCGCCTACACCAGCACACCCCGCACACGACCCGTGGCCCCGCAGGGGGCTTCACCGAACGCCTCAGCGGCAAGACATGACATGCGGTCCTCCCGCCAATCTCGGCACATGCTTCACGCGCTCCGAAGGCTCGCAGGGAGCTCATCAGAGTGAGGCGGCTTGAACGGTCTTCCATGATCCTTGCGCGCGCGTGGCTGGAGTAGGGACGGCAACGTTGGCAGGCCACGCTGGGGGGGGGCACGCTGGGAGGGCACGCTGGGAGGGCACGCTGGGAGGGCGCGCGCCGAGAGGGCGCGCTGAAGGGCACGCTGGAAGGGCGCACTGGGGAGGCCGAGTGCCTGAAGAAACGCCTGGTCGTAGCTCCGTTTCCCCGTCGCCGTTCCTCTTCCCCCTCCCCATCCTCCCCCTCTGGGCCCCCTCACTTTTATCCGAAATGGCGGGGTGCTCAGTACTAGTTCGCATCGCGTTGACTATGAGGAGAGGGGCAGATCCATCCCCTGTTCACCACTGACTTGGGTTGGTCCGTCGCCAGGCATGCTGATGTACAAGAGTAGAGCATGCATAGTTAGATGTACCTATATACACATAGACATGTATTTCATATCAGCATCACATGCTGTCCAGGTGGAAAACAAATATGTTGCTTCACATGAGACACATACGGCTTGCAAGTGGGAAACATGCGTATCTCGTCCGTGTGGGAAACATCTAATTCAGATGACAAACGATTGGCTTCTGCATGAGAAGCATGCGCGTCCATATGAAGGAAACATGGTTCCAACATGGACAAGACGCGGCTTCGTGTGGGCAGGGGCAGGATCGGTTTTCAGATCTCCCAGCTTGCCCCCTAGCACTGCGAAGCGCGGTAGAATGCAAAGTGCTGTCCGGCAGGTATTCCTGACTCTTTTAAAGGGCACCTCTACTCGCGCCCATTCGCATGCAACCCCGTTAGGCCCACTCGCGTCCATTCGCGTTCCCTCTACTCCCCATCGCCGTCGTCGCCCTCGTCGATTGGGTCGCGGTCGCCGTCGCTGTCCTCGTTTCCGTCGTCATCCTGCTCGTTCGCGTCGTCGGCGACGACGGCGTTGAGAAAATCGGACTTCATATCGAGCCGCATCGCCGAAGAATCGGCGATCCCGCGCGATCCGTCGACCCCATCTATTCGAACAACATCTGTGAGGCATCGATCCTCATCATCGTCGCTGTCGCCACCCAGGGCGCCTGGGCGTCTGAGGGCGTGCCGAACGCCGCCGCCATGCTGCCGACGCGCGGCGGGCGCGCGCGCCGGCTTTAAAGGGTCGCAGGGGCGACTGCGGCGCCGGGCCTGCAGGGCGGCGGCGGGGTCGCTGGCGCGACGGCGGGGTTGGACCCACTGGGCGATATGGCGGGGCCGCTGGCGCGACAGCGGTGCTGGCCCTTTCTGGGAGGCGGCGGCGGCAGCGAAGCCGAAGAGGCGGACGACGAGGTCGGCGAGGGAGGGGAGCACGGCGAGGAGGAGAGGGGTGAAATGGGAGAGAGGACGGGTGCAAAAAGGATTGATGGGCAGGGAACTTCGACGGGGGACGGGTCGAGACACCAAGGACTACAGCTAGACAAATTACGCCGGCAAACGATCAGGACGAACTCCTCCAGGACAAGGGCATTGGCCAATTGAATGCGTGGGGTGAGAACCTTCCCGCACCGTCTTGACGTCAGTCATGAGGTAGACACTGATGGGCCCGTCTACAATGCTCAGCAAGCTTGTTAGACTTCCCCCGAGTCTGCCATGCATCCGCGAGACATGAAAGAAAACGTACCCCCTCTCGGCTTTTGGGCCGGGAACACTATTGCGACCCAGTACCAGGGAGGGGAACGCTGCTCGTCGCTTGCAGCAGAAAAATTACAATGCGCATTGGAACCTTGTTTGCATGCGGGGAACATGACGCCGGTGGACAACCATGAAGGGGTCACAAACGATTGCTGGGAACATTGCTTGCCGCATGATGCTGGTGGAAAACTGGCCCGCCAACAGCGCAGGGGACTTGGGGCGAGCCTGCCTACGCGCCGGCGCAATCACGCAGGCTGCGCCTGTGGCGGGCCCGACAGACCCACCACCTGGACCGCCTGCTCACCCAGCGGTGAGGGGGGATGAGAGGAGGAGGGGGAGAGAGACAAAGGGGCACGGATGGCGGGGGGGGGAGGGGAGAAGGGGGATTGGTCGACCCTGCAGCCAGTCCCAGCGCTGGCCATCGCTCGGACGTCCATTCCCCGTGCAAGCGTCGGTTTTGTGCGCGTTTCTTCGCCACACGAACCACAATGTTCCTCGATCCAATATGTCCTGACAACCTGCTGCACCAGCGCAGCCACGGCCAGCGCAGTAGCCGCGCTCACCCTGACCAGCCACCCCCTCGGCCGACAGGGGTCAAGGGAAGTCTGGCGGAGCGGGGCCGCACTCTCAAATTTAACGCACTGGCCCCGCGGCTTCCGCTCACGAAGGCACTTGCCGAGCTCAAGTCCAGGGGCGCAATTGCACAAACGCCGCCGACTTGGCAAACATATCGGCCCAACGCTTGCTTCTTTTGGCCTGGCACACCTCCTCGCTGTATAGAATTGGACTGTCTGGATTTACGTGGGATTTCACTTTGTACACGGGCAGCTGCTAACGCGGCGATGGGATGGCACAAAGATCAAGAAACTCATCCACATGATAACAAAACCCTCGGTCAGCAACAATATCGAGAAACTGTCCCGCAATATCCACTGGACCTTACATTTCAGCGGCGACTTCACCAAAGGATTGTGCAACTCTAAGCGCAGCTACGGAAACCATGTGTTCCACCGCATGGCGAGCCCGAAATACAAAGCGATCATCACCATGGGCCGCGTAAATATCCCCATGGGCAGCGTTGCGCACACATGTCCGACCGACACAATGATGCACCCCATACCCTTGCTCGCTGCAGTACCCATCCCAAAACAGTGTCGCCCCTCTGCAATATAAAAGGCAACAACATCCGCATCGACACGCTAGAAGCCACTCCGCTCGCGGCCCCATTCACCATGAGGACCGCATGCTCATTTTGGCGCAACGCTGGAACCAACCATCCGTGAACTGACGATGTCCTGGGCAACCTTTGCGAGGAGATTCGTATCGGAGCACGTGCGCGCCGGTGCAGACGAACAGCCGGCAGTGTAAATCGTCAGATACAGCCCCACAAAACTGGCATAACTATCCAGGCGCAGATATCTCCCAATTGCACTTGACGCCACTGGGTGTAGACGCGCTGCGATATGAAGTCTGCAAATTACTTCTCCCTGCCACGATGTTGGCAACAAGACCCAGAAGGCCATGTGCGACACTCGCGTCAAACTTTCCGCCTTCCAACGCAGATTGGTCCAATCACCTTCTTTGGGAACTGTCTCCTCCAAGCGGCCTTCATGTCATGCGACAACGTTGCAACGAGGCGGCGGGGAGGTGGATTTCGCCCCCCGCGCCCCACGCACAAAAATCGTTTATTCGTATATTGGAAAAAAGGAAAAACACTGAATAAACACTACAAGACAACAACAACATGCCCCCGCCCAGACAAACGGCGCCCTGAAGAACCGACACATAAAATCGCGGCGTTGACGGGGTCTTTTGACATGCCACCTGGTTCTGGGCACTCGATGAAGCGCTGGCTGAACAAGGTCACGTGGCACCGCGGAAACGCAGTTTTGATCCTCCCAAAGGTAGACGGCCCGAAACAAATTAACCTCGGTCAATGCAAAGCCCCTGTCCAACTTGCGAGCGTGGTCGCCATTGAACAGAAGAGTGGCGTTCCTTGAGCGGAATGGGCAGATCGACCCAACTGTCTGCAAGATGAAGAACCAAGTACCACGCGTTTCCTGCCAATACTCCCACCCACACAGCCCCGCAACCTGGGCCCACAATGCCCATGCTTCTGTAGCCCGTTGGTGTAGAGGCGTCGTATGTCGGCGCCATTATTTTTCGCAGCCGCCAGGCGCCTCGTGCTGCGCGCCAGTAGGCCGATGATTTCACCGGCGATGCTCAGGCGGGTTTTGCGCGACCACGCAAACCCAAAAGTTTGGGGTCCTTGCCGAATTCAACGCACTGTGAATCCACCATGCCCGCTGCCATGGCCATTGGCTCCGCTAGATCAGAACTGACCACGATGGCACATCAGTTGGGTGAACCTTGGCAGCCCAGCTCTTCCTCGATAGGCCGGAGGACGTACGCCGACTTACTCACGGTTCAAATGATGAAAAAAAAAAAAACATGTCCTGCCCCTGTTCTCCAAACAGTTATTGCACATGCAACTGCGTTACACTAGTTGCAGACGGTGAATTGGACCGCGTAGAGTGCACCGCGTCAAGTTGCAGCACGCAAAATCGCACAAGCTCGACTGTACCACGCAACCTGCGCCACGCGGTTGGTTCCGCATAGATTGCGCACCGCGCGTGTTGCACCACCTGGATTGCGCCTCGCGCGGCGTAGCGCAGGTTTTCTCTCCTATTAATTGACAGCGAACAAAAAATCAGCGGACTCCCCAAAGCCAGACTTTTCCGCGCCCCATGGCCCATGGGAACTTGCAGTGTACATTGGATTACCATGAACTCATACCATTCCAGCCAAGCCGGCACTGACCCCCCCCCCTCCCACGCACACATCCCCCATCGTCGCCCGATCACACAACACGCGCATACTCGTTTCTCGCAATCGCGAATCTGCAAGATTTCCACGCAAAAACCGGAACGGAACGCGCGCACGCGCAGCCGCGCGCGCAGGCCAGATTCCGTGACAAACAAGATTGGGTGAGGAGTCCAAAATCAAGGTTTCCGAGCACATAACGCGGCTTTGCAACGTGGCCTCTTAAAAAGATCACGCGCCCGCGCTCGCGTAAAAATCCACGCAGCAATCATAGGGGCCCCAAGTGTTCATCAAATGCGACCCGGCGGGCCCTTCGCGCGCGCAAGCCGAAATCATCCGAAAGCCCTTGCGCGCGCACTGGGGGGGCGGAAGGGCGCGCGATTCCCGTCGAGAACAGCGGGGGCCAACCGCGCACGTCGGGCGCGGGCGCGTCGAAATTCTGCATGCCATCATTGCCGACGCGCGGAAGCCATCATACACATCGGCGCGATCAGCATCGCCACTGTCATCGCCGCCATCATCGCCTGCAACTGGACGTCATCATCTTGGCCAGCGCGATCAACAACGGCGCCGTCATTGGCCTTGCCGTCGTCCTCGTCATCATCTTCACCAGCGTCGCCACTTGCGTCGCGGCGTCCGCCGCTGTCGACGGCGCCGCGAAACCGCGCCCGCCCGAGCCGCCGACTCGAACACGCGCGCGCGCCCGCGCGCCAGCGCGGCGAGACGCACTTGGGAGACCCCCGCGGTCAGCGCCGCGCGCAAGAACCGCCGCCAGCGAGACCCACCACGGGCGCGTCGGTCGCGCCAGAACCTTGCCGCTCCGCGCGCAAGACAGCGCGCGCTGCCGCGGCCGCAGCCACGCGCCAGCCAGCGCCATGCAGTTTCCGCCGCCGCATGGATATGACCGGTCAAGTTGCGGGCGGGCGGGTGGCATGATAGCGCAAGCAATGCGGCTGGCGACATCAATTTCGGCCGGCACAGTGGGCCGCACCAGTTGCTTCGCCGATATTGCGCGGCACAGGCTGCACTTCGTAGATTGCACCACATCTGCAGCACAGCCTAGATTGCACAACTCAGATTGCACGGTGCACACATACAAATGGCTAAGACCGGCTGTACCACATACGTTGATAAAAAAACACTTTATTTTGCGCGCGCTGGCGATCATCAACGTTCATGTTTCGCAAACCATCCGTGAATAGGTCGAGATCAGTCAGCGCACGGTTCTCCACGAAAGTCCTCAAAGGGTCGCGAGAGCAAGCTTGAGCGAGGAAGGCTGCCGGCGGGAACCTTGCAATACATCTGTCCAGGGCCAAAACATGGCGATAACGCATTAGCAATTATGGCGTCAGGCCTCTGCCGTCTACACATGCTTCGCGCCGCCGTAAGACGCATCGTGTCGGAACAACAGCAAAAACGCGCGATCGTAATATGAAGTCGCGCTGCAACGCGCGCCCGAAGTGCGCAGCGAACGCTCCTCCGGCCTGAAAACTCCGCCGTCTCGCTCCTCAAAAATACCTGGCCTGTCGACGCGGCCGCAGTGCGTCGCCCAGGCGGGGCGCCAAACTTCTGCGGCCCCGCCCCCTTCGAGACGCGCGAATTGAAACCGCGTTGACCGATGCGCCGGTTGTCCCCGAAGCCAGATGCAACCCCGCCGCGAGCACAATCCAAGGCAATCATCCGCTGGCGAGGAAAG